ATATGTATGTATGTATGTATTTCCTTAATTTTTGTCTTTTCCTTTCCCTACTAATTTGACACTTTCAGGCAGTCACTGCCATTTTAGGGATTACTCACAGCTCCTTGAAACTAGCCCAGAGAGAGATTGCCCTATCATTTCTCCTCCAGTCAGTGTCTTGGCCATGCTCACGATAACTAGGTCTCTTTCTGTCCAAGAATGACTGTCGCTACCCCAGCATGTCCTCAGGATCAGCTCTTAGGAAACAGCATTAAATAGTAAGAATGCCCTCAAGATATGGGATTACAGTTTCATGACATTGAGTTTGATTGAGAAATTTCCTGTTTGCGATTCAAGGTGTGAGCATAGGAAGTCAGTGGGCAGGAAACGGCCCAGCTGAAAAGATACCTGATTGACAGCCTTTTGGAAGGACTTTCCACAAGGAGAAATCATATACATTGTCCTTTATAATCATAAGGAGGATTCTTTCTAACACAAAAGTTGAATCTGATGCCATTGTGTATGTTCTCCATATATAAGTAAAAGCATAAATAAAATAGGGAGAAATGCTTTCCTAGAATTAATGACTTATGATATATTTCTGTGGAGCTTTTCCCAAGCAGATGACTTACAAAAAATTCTACAAAATTGTCAACTCCGTGGAGGTAGGGATTTTTGTCTGTTTTATTCACTGTTTTGTTTTGGTATCAGAGATTGAACTCGGGACCTTGCATTTGTGAGGCAGACACTGGAACCACTGAGCTGAATCCCCAACCCTGTTTTATTCACAATATAATTATCTGCAATACCTATAACAATGCCTAACATATAATGCATAATAAATATTTTGAATGAAGCACAATGATTAAAGAGGACTGTTTAAAAGATTCCATTTAAGTACCTTCCCAAAGAGAGTACATATTTATATACATGTGTAAAATAAGTACTGAAAATTAATTGATTTTTTTCTAATCAATATGCTTCGCTTTTTTTCTCAATCTCTTCCCCATGGCCTTTTCTTCACTGCCGATGACCGTCCAATGTTTTGATTGATGCATCTGTAATATCTTCATGGATCCCTGCTGAATATTCTACTTCTGCCTGTCTGGAACCTCAGGTAAGGCAAGGAGCTTCCAAAAGTTTTCTCAGTGCCATGACTTGATAAACTTTAATAGGCAGTTGAGAAGTTCATCTAGAAATAAAACAAAATAATAATCAAAAGAGAAAATAGCTCCCGGATTAAAGCTAAATTTAAACCAGTCCTGATATAAATATTATACATATTTATAGCTATATATCTATATCTGTCTATATCTATATCTATCTATATCTCCACTAGTATGGTGAAATAAAAAATGATGGCTTTAGAAAGTACAACACATTTGACCTTGAAGTTTCTAGTGTTGAGTGAATATATGGCTTTGTTTTCTTCTCAAAATTATTTTCTTCATCGTTGTGACTAGTTCTTTTCAGTTTTTCATCCAAAGTTGTGTTATGTTTGTTCACAAGGCCAAGTGTGGTGCAAGGGCTCTTAGCTTTCCTTCACTATGTAGGGGATCTAAGCCAGCGTGATAGGGCAGTATACTCTAGATTATGTCTCCCTTGTGGCTCCCGTGGATGGCAATACATTGAGCCTTGGGTGGTGAGATGGTGCGTGGGTGTGTCTTGGTTAACAGATCTGATGTGACGCCACCAGATATCACTGTTGCTTCTCATAGCACTTACATCCCCCAGCTGTGTCACCAACTCAGAAGCTGGGAAGGAGACTGAACCACACCCGGGACTGATGATAAAGGATTCATCTGTTGCTTCTCAAATAATGATACAAGGGCTTTGATGTTAGCCATGCTATAAAAACACTCTTTTAACTACCCTCTAAAGCCTGCAGATAAAGTTGATCTAAAGAAATATTTCTCCCAAGAAAACACACAAGGCCTATAATCCACATTTGGTACAAAAGTGTTAACCACTGCATAATGTCCCTTGTTTTGCTATAATGAGAAACAGAAAGGTAACTGAGTCCATTCAGTAACCGATCTCTGCACAACTTCACAGTCTCTGTTAATAACAGAAACTCACACAGTAGATTTAGTTTTCTGACTCTTAAAACATATATTATGAGGAGAGGTGAGCAAGTGTTTTGAATGGAAAGACATTGTTTACTTTGATGGATGTCTCGTGTTTGGGTAGAAGGGACTAGAGAGATGATTTATATGTCACTTTGTGTGTACTTTGAATTTTCATCATTTTGAAAAGCATCAGCAAATTCTAACCATTCTTTCCTTTTCCTTTCATTTGTGTTTCCTATATACCTGATAATATACAAAATCCTTGCAAATTCTTCCTTGGTCCTTTCAATCAGGCATTTCCATTTTAGTAATGCTAAAGGGATGGGCTTGGTTCAGTTTTTGGGTTATTGGCTATTGTTTTTTGCTGAGATTGGCATTGCTTTTTGTGAAAGGGACTACAATTAGCACGAGCGAGTGGTCAATCCATCATTCCTAGCACATAACCTCTCCAGAGGGCTGGCTCTCAGTGCTGCCATGCTCCTTTCAGCCCTTTGAGTCAGAATCTCCTTGTGACTTCAGAAGAGCTAATGGGGAAGAAAGTAGAAAGCCATCCATGGGCTATTTCCTAACAGTATGGGAAGCTGGGAAAAACCACGATCCAAATAAAATGGAAAATTTGTGTTATTTTAACTCTTACCAAGCTCTTGCTAGCAACTGGTTTTACTGTTCCTTTAACAGGTGGAGGATTTTTCAGATTCTAGATGCAGCAAGGTAAGTAGCAATATATTTTTAGTCTAACAGAACCCAAGAAAGCTAGAATGCGTGCTTTGTAGTTGCCTGTCAGTTTAATTTCAATACAAAAGATTATCGGAGGCTTGGGCAGATTCTTGCCCAGGGTCTTTTTGAGGTTAAAACAGCATTTAGGGTAAGGTCTGAAGGCTGATCTTATTCAGAAGTAGGATGCATATCCAGGACCACCACCCTAGAAAGTCTACCAGTAAGTTACTAGCTCCTTTTTACTGGATTTAGGCTGTAGAGTGTGTAGTTAAGAAGCCTCAGAGTGCTCTTCATGGTGCTCAGCCTAGGCTGAGTGAAGTTTCTAGAACAACCAGATCAGCATTTCCATGAAGGAAGGAAAATCTACTCTGAAAATATCAGGGCTTCCAAAATATGCAAATGTGTACACTTGCAAGGCAGAGTGACCCGCAGGTCAGGATTCTTTATGACAGGAGCTCTGCAGAAGAATAAACTGAAGGAAGGTCCTCTTTGCAGGGAAGAGGGGACACTGAGCATGCTCCAGGAATGTGCCCACCATTGCCACGGGCTGTGACATTATATTGCCACCAGTGCTAAAGAGGAGAGTGAGAATTATAAGCCCTTTCAGAAGGGTGTGCCCTAGTTGATTGGCATAGTGATAACCAGTATTGTATTTGGTCTGTGGCTGGCTTATTGGCTCCATAAATATTTATTAGTGCCTCTGCTTTCTCTTCCTATCCACTTGCTTCTGGTTCTGTGCCCCTTGGCCAAATAGGTTAGGGAGAGCAAAGGCTAGCTTTGACATTGCTCTGCAAAGACAGATGCTCATTAAAATAGACTACCTGAGGCACTTTGAAGATTCCTAGCTTACCTTTGAGTAGCAGGGCTTCACTATTCTCATTAGGTTCAGGATGGATAAAACTGGCTGGCTGGGCCGGGGATTTAGCTCAGTGGTTCCACCACCTGCCTCGCAAGCAGAAGGACCCGAGTTCAATCCCTGGTACCAAAAAACAAAACAAAACAAAAAACTGGCTGGCTGAAAATTGTAAATTCAGTGTTTTAGATTCAGGTCCTAATTCATTGAGATAAAAGCCATAGATTCCTTATCACATGATATCAGTATGAAAGGGCATTTAAAGATCATAGATTGGATGTTTCTTGATAGCAGGAATACCAGATTCTACTACTACTTAGTGGGCTGACTTTGATCAAGTCCTGTTATCACTGTGAGCCCTGATTTCCTTGTGTAAAATAAAACAGAGTAGATGACTATTAAAGAATGATCAATAACATAGAGACTATTATCCTTATTATTGTTTTTTACGGGAGAAGCTTTGAGAATTTTGTTTTCTTTTTGCTTTAAAATGTACTACTGTATATGATAGCACCATCTCTCTGTAACAGTTTTGCTCTGTAGAAAAGCAAATCTGGAATACTCTTTCTTTTTATCGTGGTGCTGAGGGGTTGGACCAGAAGTCAATATCAGAGCGTCTTATACCTGGTCTAAGTGAGAAGAGAGGAGTACAGATGGTAGAGATGGGAAAGAAAGAGCTTTGGTAAATATTAATGTGGGCCATTTTTGAATTCAAGTGGCCTGAATGATATATGAAAACTATTGCAAGGCTAGCATATTTTTCAACCACTTGTAAAATAATAAAGCCACAATTCATTTGGTAATCCCCACTGTATATGCAATTTCATAAATGTACAAGATTATGATGATCTCTGCCTCATAATTAGCAATTTGCATAAGGACTTGCTGTTATTCAGTTGTCTGAATGGATTTTTGTAATCCAGAGAAAGAAAAGAACAATCAGTGGAAGCCATTCCAAATGCCTAGTATTATTGTTGTGCACATGCACAATTAACAGTGATACTAATTGCTTCAGAACAGAACCTCATTTATTTTTCTACAGACAGCAAAAACCTTTACTGCAGAGGTTTTCCCTGCCCCCCTTCTCTCTCTCTCTCTCTCTCTCTCTCTCACTCTCTCTCTCTCTCTCTCTCTCTCTCTCTCTCTCTCTCTCTCCCCAATAGCCAACTGTAACATAAGGTCTGCAGTTGGTTGTAAGCAAATTATTTGGTTGGATTTGCAGTGTATCATTTTGTAATGGAGTTTCCAAGTCTCTGTTTATGTTAGTAATCAATGCTTGAACAGCCAAAGACTTGTCTTTATAGTATTTTTAATGATAGGCCACCATAAATTTAATAAATAAAAGGATGCCGACATGCTGAGCAGTTCTGCTGCTACATTTACATACGCCTTCACAATCCATAGCTTTAAAATTGTTAGACCTGCATACAAAAATCAAAAAGTCAAGACTAGAAAAGACCTTTAAGATCACCCTGCAAAATTCTCTCATTTTTAGATGAGTTTGATTGTTAGTAATTTGAATCTCAGTAATAACCCCCGAATCAATGACACCACACTTTTTTGAAAAACAAACTATTTCAAACCATTGGAAACTATTATAGTAAATATATAATTTAAACTATAACTGGTTGTTTGGAATCATATGGCTTCAATTTATTTTCCAAAGACCTGAATCAGAAGTTTTAAATATGCCCTTATAAAGTTTGCCTAAATATAGCCAGAATGTTAACAGTGTGTGTATGAAAGGAGATGTATTGGGCAAAATACTTGGTATTAAGATACCTCAATTAATATCAGCGCCCTAGGGCCAGGGATTTAGCTCAGTGGTTCCGCCACCTGCCTTGCAAGCGCAAGGACCTGAGTTCGGACTCTGGTGCCAAAAAAAAAAAAAAAAAAAAAAAAAATCAGCCAGACACTCCGCCGGTCTTACCCCACCCCCAGGAGGCCCCTCACAGGTGGTCACGTGCTGGCGACTGGCCAAAAATATATGTATACATCAGCACCCTTCCCTTCATGCGTAGATTACCTCATTGGTATTGGTCAGCATAGAAGTACAGTATTACCTTTGTGACTGAGAACATGAGCTTTCAGATTCAAATGGACCTTGGGTCCAATCCTGGCACTGCCACTTCTAGCAATATGACCTTGGGTAATTCATTTCACCTCTGTTGGCTTCAGGTAGTTTTCTCACTTGTAAAATATAACCACTTTATAGAGTTGTTGTGAGCATTAAAATGAGATCATCCCTAGCAGAAGCTTAGCACTGTTCCTGGAACATAGAAAAGAGACAATAAATGGTAGTGGTTATTACTTTTCATTGTCTGGCACAGCCAGTAATGACCTCATTCCATACTAATATTTAATCTTATGGTAGCTGAGGTATCTGCATATATACCTGTATACATCCACCTGTGTTCACACAGAGTACACAAGAACAGCAGTATGAAGACTTCTTTCCCAAAGTTTATCTGTGATCACCATTTTTCAAAACCTGATGGCTATTCCTTTGGCCTCAGTCTTCCGACCATCTATGGAGATTTTGGCATTTTGGCACATCTTCTCTTGCTTGAAAATGCTTATAATTTATCCTGATGTCTTCTCAGTATTCATTGGGTTTTCTCTGTTGGGATCTCTTTTAGACACTCATACACACATGCACGCACACACAGCTTCTCCCTCTCCCTTTCCTCTTTAAATGAAGCAGTTCCTAAGGTTCTGTCATTGATCTGCTTCTTGTCTCTTGCTATGTTGTCTCCCTGGGTAATTTCATCTCCTCACATGGCTTCACCTTTAACCTCTACACTAATGATTCCCAATTTGACCTTGCCAATCCTTAATTCATTCCGGAGCTCCAGGCTAACTCCAATTTCCAGTTGCCTGCTGAGAATCTCCAGGGCAGGATATTCTAGGAGGCTGAAAGTGTAGTCTGGTTTTTGTCATCACCTCAGGAATGCAGACGGGGGAATCTAGCTTCAGAAGTATTAAGGCTGGAAAACAAGAAGCAGTAAAGGACATTAGCCTGAGCAGAAGCAAAAGTGGTCTAAATTAGCAAAGTGGTTCAAAATAAGCTTTTCAGGGAAAGCATGACAGGTAAACTGAATTTTTCTTGTTGTGATCTAGAGATTTAAATGGCAATTGGGACGTTAAAAAGCATATGTTTTCTAGGGAGAAGGGAAGCTTTCCTAATGAAACCTGAATTAATATTTTAGGTATTGGGAGATTGGCATGTTTGGAAGGAATGCTAATTAAAGTCATCTTTCTTGGGACGCTTACAGTTACTGTTTCAGTGTTTTGTTATAGAAATGCATGTGCCAGAGGGAGCGATGATGTATTCAACCTGAAGGATGAGCGTGGGGGAGTTTTGAGAACAGGTGCATGCAGAGACACATATTCAAATGCTGGGTCAGGTGTGACTGAGATTTTGAGCGTATGCTAATAATTCTTTAAAGAGATGGATGGATTTTTCTTTCTTTCATTCATTCTGCAAATGTGTACTGAACATTCCAGGCTTGCTGTGGAGGAATGAGACTGTGAATGTATATACGATCTCTGTCCCGAAGTGCCTAATATATTTTTCTTTAGTAATGTGTGTGTACATTGAGAGATTAGTTTTGGCTACACATATCTCTGAAGCATGTGACACATTGTTCAATGCCTATAACTTTGCCGACAATCTTAATGACCACAGAAGAACTTCAGGGGAACAGGACAGTGCTAAAATGGGAAAAGAATGTGCATAAATTCCAATTAGGAATTGGTTACTTTCTTTAAATTTAGTAAATATTGGATTGCTTGGGGGTTTTACATTTCCAATCCGTTTGTCAGTGTTTCATGCTGGAGAAAGAATGATTATGCTTAACCCTAAAACTTAATTAGAGCAAAGGGATAGACAAACCTTGGTTAATGTGTGTACTGTCATTAGGAGAATTAGTTGCAAATGAGCTATTTCTAGGGAAACCACAAACTTACGGCTGATGTCTTTTTTTTTTTTCTCATAGGGCTGATGTCTTTAGTAGAGTACAATATCCTTTTTGCAGAAGGATGATCCCATTCTCTTCCTTCCTAAAATCAAGTATATTCACTTCAAGTTCAGTTACTTCCCTATGGACTGTTTGAAGGCCATCATGCCCTCCAAATGGGA